TCCTCTTTTCTCCTGCTCCCTCCCTTTCTCTTTTTTCCTGTGGTACTTGGGATTGAACTGAAGGCATTAATACCAACTACATCCCCAAACCTTTTTTGGATTTTTTTTTTTTTTTTTGGTACCAGCGCTTGAACTCAGGGATTGAACTCGGGATGTTACACTTGCAAGGCAGGGACCAGAACCACTGAGCTAAATCCCTGGCCCATTTTGGTTTTTGTTTTGAGGCAAGGTCTCTCTAAATTGCCCAGACTGGGCTAAAACTTGCAGTCTTCATTCCTCAGTCTCCCAGAGTGCTGCAGTTACAGGTTTGCACCCCCCCGCCTGCAGGCAAAGTATTTTTCTGAAAATGAAATGGCATTGCTGTTTAAGATTTTTACTTTGAAGCCAGGCCCAGTAGCTCACTGCTATAATCCCAGTACTTGGGAGGCGGAGGCAGGACACAAACCTAAAACTATCCTGGGCTACATAGTGAGACCTAGTGTCAAAAAAACAAGTTTTGGGCCGGGGATTTAGCTCAGTGGTTTTGCCGCCTGCTGCGCAAGCGCAAGGACCCAAGTTCGATCCCCGGTACAAAAAAACAAAACAAAACATAAAAAACAAGTTTTTGTTTGTTTGTGGTACCGGGGATCAAACTCAGGACCTTGCACTTGCCAGGCAGGCGAGGCAGCACTGAGCTAAATCCCCGGCCCCTATATGTATATGTTTTTATGGGCACTCATCACTTAATGACACGGATGCCTTCTGAAAAATGCATTGCACCTGCCTCGAAATCACAAGGTCCTGAGTTCGATCCCCAGTACCAAAAAAAAAGAAAAATGCATTGTTGGACGATTTTTATCCTATGTATATCATAGAATGTATTTAAACTAAGGTGGCTACAATGTTACTAATTTTGTGATACCGCTGTCATATATGTGTTGTCTGTTGCTGACCAAAATGTCATGTGGTCCATGATTGTATTTATTATAATATGTATTTCGTGGAGTGTTCAGGTTTCTTGTTTTGTCAGCTTTTTTTTTAAGTTGTTGTGTTTGGTGTTTTTGTTGTTGTTTGGTTGGGGCTTTGTTTGTTTTGATTTTTTGAGACAGGGTCTCACTATGTATTTCAGGCTGGTCTTCCCACATCCCTTTCTTTATTACCATTCATTTGTTGAAGAAACTGGGTCATCTCTTTTATGCAGTTCCCCAAAAGTGAAAGATTTAGACTAACCTACAGGTAGAACTTTATTTTATTTACTAATATCAGCTTAAATTTTACAAAATGTTACCTTCACTGCCTTTTAAAAAAGTGTGGAGTAGTACATAGAAGAAAACTATTTAAAAACCCGTCATTTCCTTAAATTAACCCATTGGCTTTCAAGAGTTAAAAACCTACAGAAAGTTTTTTTAGAAGTTTTTAAAAATCTTGTTTACTATAAAGTATTTATTCACTCAATGACAGTCACTCCATCACATCTCTGGGGATTTTTGTTGTTAAGATAACGAATCTGGACGACAGTAACTGGGCAGCTGCATTTGCAACACGGCATTTAGGACTCTTCACGAAAACAGAGCCCAACAACCTCACAGAGGATGCAAATGTCAGCGCAGTTATGTTACGTGAAGATGATCCGGGAGAAGCTGGTAAGAGGGCTTTGTGACAGAGCAGCTTTTCTTTTACTAAGGAAGGAAGCTATTCCCTGCCATTTCTGAACACCATTAATATATAGTAATTATAAATATTATATATTATTTATATAAGCATTAATATGTTGATGTAAATAAATATACATTTGTAATATAAACATATAAAAGTACATTTCTTTTGGGAGGAGTGGCTTAAAAAAAACATGTATTTTTTCAAAGTTCTTGATACTAAAAGTCTGAGATAAAGGTGTGAGCAGGCACCAGGCGTGGTGGCACACATCTGTAATAGCAACACTTGGAAGGCTGAGGCAGGAGGATCGCCACGAGTTTGAGGCCAACCTGGGCTACATAGTGCATTTGAGGCCAGCCTGAACTGCATAGTGAGACCCAGTCTCAAAAAACCAAAAAAAAAAGAAAAGAAAAGGTGTGGGCATGGTTAGTGGTTTTAACAGCCTTTCTCCTTGGCTTGCAAATAGCCATTTTCCTCCTGTGTTTTACCTGGTCTTCACTCTGTAATATAGTTTTCATGGTCAAGGCCATCTTTAGAAGGTTGAGAACTTATCAGTTGGAGTAATATCTTGCCCATATTACCTTTCAGTGTAAATAGACTGAAGTTACTAGACAAGTCTCATGCTTTTATTCTTACTTGTGCCATTAAAACACCTCTTTTTCTTTAGGTTTAGTTTTTAATGTGACATTGTTGATGTGCTTCGTTTTGGCCTGGACACTAGTACTGTTTTTTTTTCCAGGTAATATTGTGACCTTGCTAGTTTTAAGTTGGTTATTACCATTCCCTCATGGAAAACACCATTTGCTTTATTGTCCTTGTACCTACACGTTACTATGTTAGTTCTTCATCATAACTTAACACAGTAAGTGCTAGTCAGTGTGTTTACCACTATAGAAGCATTAAATTATGTGGTCCTTTCCACGGTCCACTAAAGAGTTACAATGATTATTCCCATTTTAGAGGGCAGGAGCCAGGTGCAGTAGTACATGCCTATAGTGCTAGCTACTCAGAGGCTGAGGTGGGAGTATGATGAGTTTCAGGCCAGCCTTAGCAACACAGCAAGACCCTGACATGAGAGAGAGACAGACAGACAGAGATAGACAGAGAAAAGAAGAGCATACAGGAAAAGGATGCCCAGAGAGGTTAACGTTTAAGATCACCCAGCTAGGAAGTGATTGGACCAGGATTTCAAACTAAACATTTTGATTCCAGAGCCCTACTCTTTTTTGGGGGAGGGGTGGTTTTTTGAGACAGGGTCTCACTATGTAGTTCAGGCTGGCCTTAAGCTCACCGTGTAGCCCAGGCTGGCCTCAAACTTGCAGTGGTCCTCCTATTTCAGCCTCCTGAGTGCTGGGATTACCAGGCACGCACCACCACATCTGGTTGCAAATCATATATCTGGCAAAGAGTTCATATCCAAAATACATAAAGAAATCCTATAACTCAGCAACAAAACATCACCTCAATTAAAAAAATGACAAAAGACTTGAATTGACATTTTTCCAAAGATATACACGTGGCCAAGAAGCACACGAAAGGTTCTCAATATCACCATAGACATTAGAGGAATATAAACCAAAACTAGAAAATAACAACTGTTGACAATGATACAGACATCAAAATTGTGTCCTGTTGGTGTAAATGTCAAATAGTACAGCCACTCTCAAGCAGTATGGCAATGTCTCAAAAAATTAAAAATAGAATTGTCACATGTGAATCTATTTAAGGGTATACCCAAATGAATTATAACCAAGATCTCAAAGAAATATACTTGTATAACCTTGTTCATAATTACATCCCTAGTAGCCAAAAGGTGAGAGGAACCCAAGTGCCCATTGATAGATGAGTGGAGAAACAAAATGGATATACTCATAAAATGGAGTATTATTTAGCTGGAAAGGAAAGACATTCTGGCATATGCTACAGCATGGATGAACCTTGAGGATATTATGCTAAATGAAATACACCAGTCCCAAAAAAGACAAATTCTCTATGATTCCACTTAAAAGAAGTGCTTAAGGTGGTCAAACTTAACAGAGCTAGAAAGTAAGAATAATGGCTGCCAGGTTGGAGGAGGCAAGGGGTTACCCATCTGTGCGTGGGTATTGGTGATGGTAACCACAGCAGTGTGAGTATACTTAATGCCACTGAACTATACACTTAAAAATGGTTACCATGGCAAATTTTATGTCATGTATTTTACCAACTTTTTAAAAATACAGCAGTAAAGAAATAAAGATGTTTAGCTATGTTTTATGTTTTCAGACAAATTACCTAAAGTATGTCACTTAACTTTTCTTTGTTCCTGTTCTTTTTCATATGTTTTAGCATCCTCAAGCATGTTTCCTGATTTCCTGCAGTCTTTTTTAAAGCATTCTTTATCTACAGTTTTTGACCTTGTGGAAGAATACGAAAATATTTGTAGCAATCAGGTAAGCAAATTTTACTTCATTGGTCAGTCTTCAGTACTTCTTGGTTTTGAACAGCATCAACTTGTTCTTTTCCATACTGTGCTTAAGGGAGACGTCTGAGAGGCACAGGGGCAGGAGTGGTGGGGACGTCAGCCAGAGCGACTTGCTTTCTGTAGAAGGAAGCTCTGTACAGTATCTCTTTGGTGAAAAAAAAGAAATCTGCTGCTTAAAAAAAAAACAGCCTAAAATATACAAAGAGTTCATAAAACTCAACAATAAGAAAACAGACAAAAAACTGAACCAAAAAGGAAAAAAAATGGGCAAAAGATGAGAAATGAGTACCCCACCAACAATGGTATGCAGATGGCAAAAAAGCTTATGAAAAAAAATGCTTCACATCAAATATTATTAGGGAATTGCAAATGTAAACCAGACACTGTCCCATACTTAAATAGAATGGCAAAATTCCAAAATACTATGATATCACCAAGGTCTGATGGGAATGTGGAGCAACAGGAAGTCTCATTCACTGGTGATGAGAATACAGAATGTTCCAGCCAGTTTGGAAGACTGTTTCTTACAGAATTAAACATGCTCTTACTATATGATCAGCAGTTACACTCTGGCATATAGCTATGTGAATTAAAAATTTGTCCACACACACCAAAGCCTGCATATGGGTGTTTATAGCAGCTTTATTCATAAAGATTTGGATGCAACCAAGATGTTCATCAGTTGGTGAGTGAATAAACTGTAATTTATCCAGTAAATGAAGTATCATTTAATGTGAAGATGAAATGAGCTAGTAAGCCCTGAAGAGACCCAGAAATCATTTTTGGTTTTTGAGATAAGGTTGCATAGTGTCATCCAGGCTGGCCTCAAACTTAGGATCTTCCCCTTATCCTCCCAAGTGCTGGGGTTGCAGGTGTGCATCACCACATCCAGCAACAGAGAATCTCAAATGCATATTGTTGATGAAAAAAAACAATCTGAAAAGGCTATATACTGTACAGTTCCAACTGTGTTACATTCTGGAAAAGACAAAACTATGGAGGTAGTAAAAAGATAGCTGGCAGTTAGTGGGGAAGGAGGAATGGATGGGCAGAGCACTGAGGACTTTAGAGCTGTGGAATTTTACTGCAACATGCATATATTATGTGAATGCATAGTATCATACATTTGTGAGAATCTGTGGACTGTATACCACTCAGCATGAACCCTAACATCAACTATGAACTTTGGGTGATAATGACATGTCAGTGTTGGTTCATTAATTATAATAAAATAGCATTCTAGTGATACTGATAGGGAGGCTATGTATGCATGGGAGCAGGGCTATTTGGTACTCTGTATTTTCCATTCAGTTTCTCTGTGAATCTAAAAACTGCTCTAAAAATAAAATCTATTAAAGCAAAAGAATTTAAAGTATTATATTTAAAAATAATTGCAACTTGGTGCAGTGGCATGCACATATAATCCCAACTATTTGGGAGGTGATTCAAGAAAATTGTGAATTTGAAGCCAGCCTGGGGAACCCAGAAAAACCTCACATCAAAAATAAAATAAAAATAAAGAGTAATTGGAATAATAATAACAACAGCAAAATTTTGAGGGGTTTTTGTTGTTTGTTATTTTGAGACAGTGTCTCACTATATAGCCCCAACCTGTCTCAAATTCACAGCCATCCTCCTGCCTTAGCCTCCGAAGTGCTGGGATTATAGGCATATGCCACTACAGCCAGCTAGCCCACATTTTTAATATTATTTAAGTAATCATCCTCTGAATCGTCCCATTATAAAGCAGTAGCTTCATTAAATAACAAGTTTTTTTAAAGGATGAGAAAACCTGTGGTAAATCTTTATGTTCTGAATGAGACCAATCCTGTTTCTTAATTCCCTCAGTAAGTAAAGAGGAAAAAAAAGTAAGTAAAGAGGTTCTCATAGAGGTAGAGGGATTGAAGCAAGAGGGAGGGGATATAAAAAAATAAAGATGTGTTATGTACATGTACCAGCTCCCCACAGTGAATGTAACCATTATGTACTGCAAATGTGTACTAATAAAAATAAAAATTTGGAAAAAAAGTAAAGAGATTCTACTATTCATAACTTTTGAGAAACGTTTCTTTTACCCTGGGTCCTTAAACTTTCCATCGAATAATTTTTTGTGTGTTTCAGGGGAGCAATTCATACCTTTCATTAGATTCTCACACATGCGTTAGTCCCAAAAAGAGTTAAGACCTTTAGCCCAGTACTTTTTCTACAACTAGTGACAGGATCATATGGCTTTCTCCTTTCCTCTGTTAAAATGATGACTTTTAGGGGTGGATCTTCCAATGCTGAACCAACACTGCCATCCCTATAATAAAGCCACTTTCTACATACTGCCAGATCTCACTTCTAA